TAAAGGGCGAGGGGTATCTGCGGCCGGGTGTTTAGGCCCCCGATTTGAGTTTCCCTGAATACTGGTAAGCACGAGACTTGGCCCGGGTCCCTGGGGTTGGGGCCTAAACCTGAATGGGAATTGTAGACATCGATACTCACCATTGAACACCGATCCTGCGTGAGTCGCAGATCTTCCGTTACCTGCTTGTAGGGGAGACCCCGAGCTCTGTGTATGCTTCAAGTCCAGCTAGACTTTTAGGTGACGATGATGCCACAGATTACCCCCGGCTAGGGTATTTTTTAGTAAGAAAAAATAGAATCTCTCGGTATCTATCGAGCCTTATGAAAACAGTAGCGGATCTTTGGTGGTCGTACTTTCTAGGAGCATTTACACTCAAGAGGGGTAAGGGAAATGCCTAGCGGTGGGTTAGCGGTATAGTCCTTCTGTAAAAAGGGGGAGTCCTTAACCTTATATAGGTCGCGGTACTCCCATACTCCAAGCGAGGTTTGGGGTATTTATGATCCGGTACCTGGCTCAGCTCCAAGTCCTGTAGTGTACTCGTACAGTACCGGTACCGGTAACCCGGGTCGTTCACGGGCATGCATCTGGTACCGACAAAACCCTCCGGTACAAGTACAGTACGTTACCCTGACACAGAAACTCGCTCTCCTATTTCCCCTGATCAGCCAGAACTAATTAGGATCTAGCGGTGAACCAAATCCCTACGAAAAATGCTATCATAAGTATCACACGCCGGGCTCGACGTGAGCCCGGGAAATTCCCGGGATCCAAGAGACATTCCAGGACCTAGCCTGGCCAGAATTGCCGTGGCACCCACGGACTGCGGGCAGAAAGAGCGGTACCGGTATACCGTACCCATTGTAATTTATATCTTGCGTCGGCCGTTGTTTACATATTGGCATTCCTTGTAAAGATACAGTCGCACCCCGCTATAAGGGATCTATTATACGGGAAAATTCGCTATTACGAACGAATCCTCTAAGAATTTACCCCCCCTGCTCCCATACACACAGCACCTGCTATAAGGGATTCCTTCCGAAACCCCGCTATAACGGATAAAAAATCCTGATTTTTTGGCATTCGTTATAGCGGGGTGCGACTGTACAGTAACTCCTCCTCTGAGACACGGTACTCGAGTATTAATAATCCTTGCCTACGGTTAAACCCTCATGACATGGAACATCTTGTCATACAGCAGTTTCATGTGTATTCAGGCTACCGGTAGCTCCCTCCGACACGCAGGCGCGGCGCCTCACCTCTCGCGCTACTTTCCGTGTTGTTGGCACTTTTGCACACCGTGAGAGCACTCGCTCCGGTGCAAGCGCGGTTAAGGATTCTTTTGAATCATTTTCTACCGGAGAGATTTCTTGCCCGAATCACTCGCCAATCATTAGGCCCGGCCCTGGCCCAATAAACTTCGGACAAATACTTGTACCGGCACCATACTCGGGTACATCAAATACCGCTACAAGTACTCAGGAAAAACCCCGCGCTCCCAAGCTGGTGTGGTGCTCAGAACTCGGCAAAATCTGTACTGTTTAGTATGGCCATGACAGAAGCAAGAAATTCAGCGTAGATTTTCTCCCAGTTCCCCAAATAGGTCAGTGCTAGGCATTTCAACCAGCACCGAATGTCTCCCCAGTTTAAGGAATACTGGTACCGATAGTGCTACTGTACGAGTACTCGAGTACGGTACTCGTACTCGTACATAATAGACCCCCCCAACCGCAACATAAACGTAGTCAGCGGCAAGGCGTACCGTACCCGCCCCTTTCCTCTCGGAGCCGGCACCACCATAGCGCCGATTTCTATCACAATTACTCAAATAAGTTAGTGCTAGACATTTGAATCTGGACTGAATGTCTCACCAGTTTAAGAAAGTCATTCGTCGCTAGGACCGAAATTTTGTCCGGTGGTCCTCGTGCTCTTTTCTTGGTGCGCTTATTTCTCGCCGAGAAACAAAATGATATGTCACATCGTCGAGCCCCTTTCTTGCACAACAACGAGAAATTCAAGTGCACGTGATTGCCCGCTGCCGGAGGATCTTTCAAAGTGCAAGCAGCGCCCGGCTGGGCGAGGAGAAACACCACTACCTCAGCCCTAAGTTGAGGAAAAAAACAAAAGGAGTATCATACCTGTGGGCACAACGGCCTTGCGGGGCAGAGAAAACTGCTACGAGTACTAGTATGATAGTTTGCCTCTTCGGAGCATTTTCTCCTTGTATTTGGGTGCGGGTATAAACACCCAGGTCATTGCCGAGAATACCACGGCTGGGCAGTACCCACGGTATTTTGCGGGAGTCCGCGCTAAGTATTCGGCTAGAGGAGGTGTTCTTGGTAAAGAACCATCGGTATATTTATACCGGCACTCAAGTAGTATCGGTACGGCGCAACCTGCCTAAAGGTGGGTTCTCCCTGAAACGTCAAGCCGGCGTTGAAAATTCTCGTGGCTACGAACTAAACCTCAATGATTGAAGCTACACGCTCCCCATGCGCAGCACAGTGCCAACCTTCCCAGTATCCTCCCACCTTGCGAGTACGGTATCTGAGTACCGCACTAAGTTTTCCTCACACCAGAACCTTGAATTTTGTATGGCTACAGTACCTTCTCCAGTTGCCCACACCTGGTCCAAGATAAGAAAAAAACCATTTGGTCACCCGGCTCACAAGTCGCTTCATCGGGTTTTCATCTGTTTTATATTTAGAATTTGCTGTGGTTATCTGGCAGTTAAAGGTCGGGTTTTACTGTTTTGGAGGGTCCGGTTTGAGCCTATTTGCACTGTCCTCGGTACGCTTGAATCACCAGTAGCATTGCACAGGTTCTCAGGCCCTATCAGCGGAAGAGCGACTTGCAGACCACCGGCCGTGCTTGTTTTGCCCGGATCCAATCACGACATGCGATGTGGTGCATCCCGAGGCAGGCACAGTATCCTTGCAGTTCAGAATGCGGAAGCATTGCAGGGTGGTTAAATACCGGTAATCGAGGGAGGTACCGTACTGTCGCCCGGACTCGCCACTGTTGCAGCCCGGGGTAACCGGGAATAGCAAATAGCCGGGGTTTATACGATCTTGGCATCAAAAGCTATGAGCACTCGTACTTGTAGCACAATTCCCATTGTCTAAGTACAGTACTCGAGTATATGGACGGGCACTCGGACACCCAACCCAAACCACACCGCCGCCCCCTACTCGAGTACCGTACTAGTACATGCACCGGTACCGGTATAACGTTCGCTAAGAATAGAAACCTCCGACCGGGACTGAGCCCCAACCATGCAACACGCGTCCGGTCACATGCGACGAGATTTTACCGGTGCTCGAGTACTTGTACTCGAGTGCAGGACAAAGCGAACGAAAGGGTGGGGTATCTCG